TCCCATTTGAGCAATAAAACTGAAGCAAGCCGTTTGATGAGGGCGTTTTGTACTCCGAAAGGAGAGTCCGCCTCCTGTTATTACCAGAAAACTACACTTAATTTCGCTCTCCAACACGACAAATTGTCCAGTACTGTTAGTATATCGTCTAAGAGATGTTCAAACATAAAAACGCAAAAAAAACAAAAAAAAGAATGCGGAGAGCCACAAGTTGAACACCAAAGTTTTATGCATATTCGGTGAATGACAGTGTGACAATCGGAACCCACTTCATTGTCGAAAGTGGACACAAAGCCATTGGTTTGACGACTGATAGCACCTGACAGACGTCACCAATCAGCGTTTCTACCGGGAGGAGAGGGAGGTGAATAGGGAGGGAGTGGGAGAGGCTGAAAAATATTACACACCAACCCCCGCCCTTATGGCTCGGCTTGTTTTAATCAACATTGAAAGGACGCGCACATTCAAACATCATTGATGAAGGCTTGACAAAAGAAAAGAAAAAGATAAATGCTACCATGAAAAGGTGGTCAAATCGACGTCTATGCTGCAATGATTCACAAATATAAACGAAGTAGACAGTGCGGAGGACCCGGCATTGATAACTCCTCCTATCTGACACTCTGGCACCAAACAAAAAAAAAACGCAAAACATTTACACATTTAAGTAATTTCAAAACAACATCCAGAATGGGGAGAGAACTCACGAGAGAAGGGATAGGGAGGAGGTTTACTCTCATCATTGTTGAGATCGACCATGTGAAGACGAAAACGGCTAGGATCGGAGGTCTTGTAGACACCCAGACACACCGTGGGCAGACTTTGATCACGGTTGCAGACGAGATCAAAGGTGTACACCGGAGAGGGCATTGAGGGCACTTCCACCTAACCAATGGGTGAGGAGAGGTGAAGACATGTGAAGAGACTGCTTAAATAAATTAAAAATATGTTTTGTGAGGTAATTAGTGGATTAACCACCGTTTGGTTACATTCTATTTCAGCCATTAAGAAATAGAAATCTCACGTCCAGCATGTTAGCCTCGCCAAGTATGTTGGGGAGCAGAACTGAAGGTGCAGTGAGAGAAGCGACTGTGGAGGGGCAAATGAAGAAGCCACTCAAAAAATGGGAAAGAAGGGCTCATGTGATGCGCAATCACAAAAATTACTTCTATCCACTCAAGTACTCATGGGATGGGATGGTAATTTGGATGGGACATCCCCATCGTAATCCCCTTTTGGCTTTGTATTGCGCTCCAGACAGAAGTAGCGGCTCATCCATCGCACGTGCAATTCATGTTGGCCCAATTGAGACTGAGGAGGTCAATGAGAATGAAATAGAGGCTACTTTCTGATGCTCTGGGAGGTGTAGCTCACATCTTTATCAAACAATCACTTCACACATCATCTCTCCAAAGAGCCTTGACAAAACCATCAAGAGTTGACCAAGATGAAAAGCCAATGAGACAGGTGGGAGGGAGGAGAAGGTGCAAAAAAAAACTGTTCAAAACTAACCAAACATCAAAGTACTACGCAACTGTCTCATTCGACAAGGCAATTCACTCTCATGATAATTTGTGTTTTGTAGACAAATCAGTAATGCAGATCTACCAAAAAAGTGACACAAATATTAATGAAAATCACAAAGGTATGCTGCTTTAATAATGTGGTACCGCCATTTGACAAGTGGATGGAAGCTGATAGAATCAGTGTGTCCAATCAAAGCATCTCCATTCCCCTCCATCCAGCCAAATGAAAGGGGAGGGGGGCGGAGGGTGAAAAAAAAAAAAAAGAGGCTGAGCGGCAGTGCTTTTGATACCGAAAAGAGCAAACACTCTCCACATTGACGAAATGGCTGCGTTTATCTCCCCCCTCCTGCCCAAAGTGAAAAGGACAATGAAAGACATCAGGCAAAAGAAATGAATCGGTTGTTGAGACTTCGTCTCAAGTACGTCCAAACAAGTTGTGATTACGGCACAACATTGTGGAAGTAAGAGGAAGAGATAGACAGAGAGAGAGAGAGAGAAAAAAAAGAGAGAGATGCGGTTGACAAGCCGCCCGTTTAATGCATTTAATCCCGATCACTTTTATCCCATGACCTACCCGCTTCACCTCGACAAAAGTGCTGCGAGGATTGAACCACTCAAAGACAAGAATGGACTTGTCAATGACAGCACAGAGGTACTTGTTACCGTTGCTAGGGTTACGCACCACACTGGCAATATAGCAACCGCGGGTGTTGGGCACCTTCACTGTGGGCTGGAAGCGTCTATAATAAGGAGCAGAGAGAGGCAAAATAATAATAATAAGACGATTAAAATGCTATACAGTAATCGGTGCAAGAAAGAGCCTCCTTTGTTCGTCTTACAGAGTTCAGTTCAAGAGGAAGTAACAAAGGCTGATTTTCAGAATAAGTGTTTACCAAGTCCCCACAGCTAACGAGTCACCGATGCTGTGACGCAACAGTAAGCAGCAAACACAAAGGTTAGCAAGACCTTCACACTTGATGCTAGTCACTGTGAGACACCAGATTTCATGAAACCAAGACATAAGTCGATGTCAAGCCACCAAATCATCGCCTGTTAAGCAATAAGATACAACCGATTCATTCGATTATACTACTTATAATGGAGGAAACTAAAATTGGCACTAAGTGGTCGGATTTTGGGGATCACGCAGAGCCGCGTGGTAGTTGGTCTTGACTAGATGTGTCTCAATTTCCATCGCGAGGAATGTGCTCTCTACAGGCGCCGCCTAGCCACTCGTAGATTGGATTTAAGCAAATAAAAAGTGTGTATTATTCTGGAGATAAACGAACCCTACTAACGGACAAATTAGCAACTCCAGCCTTTGGTCTACAAAAAAAAAGTCCATCAAACATACAAACAACTGACTTGGGAAGGAGTTTAGTGGGTAGACGTCCAGTTAGAGTGCCACTAGCCAGATCTTGACTATTCTTGGCCTTCATGACGTTGACAAGGTTGTGACTGTAGAGGTGTGGCGTATTACCAGACAACGACATCATAGTGTCACGGAACACTGTCAGCCATATGCACCGCCTCGGAATCAACTGCAAACAGCAATACAGGGTTAATTGTAATTGATGAGTTTTTTGACGGCAGGAAATACAGTTTCAAAACCCATCTGTGCTCCTGGTGTCGCCGATCCTCTACAGGCTGATAAAAAAAAAGGATTTTTTTTTCGACTAGGGAGGGGAGGGGATTCAAACTAAACCCGCAGAAGGTTCTACCGCCACTCAAATACAAAGCATACATACAATGAGCTTAGTTACGAATTGAGAGGACAATTGTAGTGATCAATTCGAAAAGGGTGACCTTGAAAGGGTGGCCGAGATGACGTTCAAAACGAGTAGAGCTACACAGGTCGACGACATACGTCCCGACTACATGTTAAAGCCATCCATGGATGAATGTCAGTTAAGTTGTAGTGATGACTGAATCGGTGCTGAATGACTAACGCGAGAACCATCCAAATCAAATTTGCCTTCAGTAAGCGCCGGAAAAGTGTAAACCCTAGCAGTGTTGCAATGATGAAGGGGAGGCAACACAACATTGAACATCAAACGCATTTTTTTTGCTACGCTTTAGTGAAGAAAATTGGTGAAACTGGTAGTTGGGAGGCTAACAGGCAAAAAGCCGAATGACCACATCAAATACTCTTCTAACTTTAGCCCACCAATTCTTCAAGTTGATAATAAACCCAATTCCGGACCGAGGCGCACCTCATCACCCCTTGCGAATGACTCAGACACCTAATGTGTGCAAGATAATTAAGAGATATGCGATCCAGTAAATTGAAAAGAAACACTCACCAATTCCAAAGTTGCATCAGCTAATTCCTGCAGGTTGAGGTAGTAAATGCCGTCATTGGTGCCAAAGATGATCATTTGCGCTGGAAATGAACAAACCCACCACATGAGTGCATAAACCAACTGGATAGCCCAAATGGCCTACTACAAACCTTTTGTAAGGGGATTGACCCAAGTGGCAGTGGCGTTGACCTTCAAGGGACAGCCCTCAAATATGAGGGTAAAGCAGGCGCCCATCTGAAGAGAGGGAAGGCGTGTAAGAGAAAAAAAATGAGGGAAAAAAGTGTCTAGACGAGAGCAGGAATTATGTGAAGCAGAGGTGATGCAGATGTCTTGTTTTCAAATGTCACAGAGAGCATAATCTGTCCCTCATTGTATTCCCCTTCGAGATTCAATGTGAAAGTCTTAAATTTGCTCTACTAGCATTAATAAGAGCACTATTTTTAATGAACAGGTCCTGAGATTTGTGAACAGGTGAGGACGGTGTGCAAACACTCACTTGTCGCCCCCATTACCGTGAGATCAACGCACCAGCACATATTTCGGAGTTGAAAAATAGGTGACGTCTCTTGAACACAAAAGGGTGTGTAAAGGCGCTCTTATGTGACACTACGACTCGGTTTTAACCCCACACGAGATGCATAACTTTTAGTTCTTTAACAGTGCTCTTCCAATTCGTCCATGAAGCAATCCGAAACTGATGATGCTCAAGCTGAGAAAAAAATGTTTCTACTCGCCTCATCTTAGTGATAGATAAGTGAATGAACTGAACTGAGTCCCATAGTTTCCCCTTAATTAAGCTGCCAACAAACAACAACTGATGTGAGTGGATGAAAACCATGAAACGCTAATTGTAGTGAGACAC